CCTTGAATGTGTGTTCTTGGATTTGCGTCAGTCTTAATGGTTTTGTATATAGGAATTTCATCCATCCTTTTTGGTCTAGATGCTATTTAAATTGGTAGCCCATGACCATAATTAACTGAGACCTCTAGTTATTCCTGATTTCTTTCTATTTGCTGCTGCTCTGCCATCTGCTTTCCCTTTCCTATTTATCAGTAGATAATAGATCCACCAAATCCACAACTGAGAAATGGAGAAAGTTTCACATTCATCTTATGCACAAACAATAAAGTTTCATGTCAGGCTTTCAGCAGGCTACAGTTTCTTCACCCTTTGCTTGCCTTGAAGGTTTCTCATATCACAAAATAAATAGCAGAATGTTGAACTAGGGAAATGAGGAGATAGAATTCATACAATAAATAAAACTGTTTTCTTTGCTTCAGTCAGCTGCTAATGTATTTACAATGTCATTAAAATCTGTACATGTTAATCTGTTAATCTGAATATCATAGACAAATTGAAGTCCCGTCTGCGTTATACTTACTTCAGTCAGTTGCTGTTACATCTTTAGATTACTTATCATGATAGTAGATAGGGCTTTTTGCCCTCTTTTTTGACCAAATCTCTCACATAGATAGCTAGTGTCTGATTAAGAGAATTCTCTCACAGAAGAAGTAAGGAAAAAGAGACATGTAGTATATGATGTCTTCTGTTCTAACAAGGTATTGAATAGGTAAACATTTTTGCTGAACCAATTCTAAAAGAGTCTTAAAAATTTGAAGACTCTGTTCCAGTTTATTCAGTTAGATCAAAATATCATGATATCCCTCTCCAATTAATCATTGACCCTTAGAGTCAGGAATGTCTACATTTAAGGAACAGCTTTTGCCAAATTAATGTGAAATCGTTTGCAAACACCTCTATGATACTTGGCCAAATATGTCCCCCAAATGGGAAACTGCTGGCAATGGCTCAAGCTAAGAAACTAATTTAGAAAAATGCATTCATTGATCTTTTGATTTTACAATGAGAGTCACTTCACATAACATAGCAAAGTTGATTTTCCATTTCTGCTATGTGTCAGCCATCTATATTCTGTGACGTATAAAGGCATTTACATGTCTGAAAGCACATAGTAAACACATACATCAAGGAGCCCTGGCCAATTACAAAGCTCAGTATTGTGGTTTTATACATGCAGTTGATATGTGGAGGAAATATGGGGACCTATTTTTAACCTAAATTTCTGCTGATGGAGGTAGTGAAAAAATCAGAAACCAGGCTGTTTTGGTGCATTTTAAATTTGTAAATTTACCTGAGATACAACTACATATGAAGTACAATGTAAGACACCATAAAGTAACTTTCAAAAAGGTTTGTTTATACAACCCCAAGTCTGCCAAATACTACTGCAAAATCCCATTCATTTCAAAGTACAGGATAAATTATATTAGCTGGAAAAACAAAGCAGTAATTCTGACACTGTTACTAACTACAGTGAAATGTGTAGCTGTCTTAACCTTTATGAACTGTTCCATTTTTATCATAGTTTTTGTAAAAAAAATCCTCTGAAACATTGAAAAGGAAAGAGAAAAATGGTTTATCACCAGACTGTTCTTGATTCATATGGATAACTTGATTGCATGTCTCCATCTTCACTGCATGTGACCATCTCTTTGTTTCTATCTGTTTCTATCCATTCTGTCCAAATTTCAATTCCATGTTTCCAAAACCTGTGAAGAACAACAGCGATGGAGTCTTGCATTCCAAAACAAGACTGTTTAAACCACCTAAGTGCTATTCCGGAAACAACACAGAGGTATCCTTGCTAAATTGTCTCCAAGTTCGCTGTACATAAAATATTGAGCAATGTAAAAAGCCATTCTTTCCTAGCTCTATACTCTACCATACCTGGCTTACTTAACATGGTTTTCCATTTCCTTTAAATATGCTAAATGCATTTTAGAAAATACATATTCATACATTTCAGCTCATGTGAATCCAGTAAAGCTACATTCTTTTTACTGGGACCTCATTTCCGGACAGGTACCAGAACATTTTGTCATCTGCAGATGAATTCATAGGAGAGTTAATTTGAGTTCATGGACTAGCTCTGGTCATACTTTTATCCAAGACATCTATAATGCGCAGTCATTATCTATGGGCTGCTGTCCTGTAACATCTCTTTAAGTATAACAGCTTATGAAGCAACTGCCAGAAAAACTATCAGAAATTTCTGTTGGGAAATGGGAATATACATAAGGGGGTAATGTAATTTAGCAGTATCATCACACATACACTGTATTCCTTAAATTCCCAGTAAAGATGTTCAGAAAGGAGATTATCTATAGAACTTCCTGTATTCGTGATATCTATTAAATGTCCAGCAAACAAAGGTTCTGGGGCATATTTCAAACCCAAAGGGGGTAGAACAAGGTAAAACAAAACAGAGCTGAGCTGGAGGACAATAAATCAGCAATAGCTAACCATGTCTCGTTTTGTTACCCAATGGACCATCAGGCAACATCCCAGCCAAGAGTGTGGCAACCCTGTAGCTGAGCTGGCATCCCTACATCCTAAGCAGAGGTACACCCTTCTAAGTCCATTGAAAGTCTCAGAAGGGTGTAATTCTGCTTAGGATGCCAATGTTAAGCTCCTGTTTTGATAGCCTAGAACATCACAATTCTCTGATGGATATAAAACAGGCACACAGTGGTTGTGATCACATGCACAGTTAGCCATGCCATAGGTGTGAATGCCGGGTGGATTTAAAGGGCGTGATCAGAAGCGAACATCTGAGAAGCACCCCGCACCAGTCGGCAACCCCTTTTGCTCTGCTGCAGAAGCAGAGACACCAGGGAAAGTCCAGTAGCAAAAGGGTTCCTACGGGCCACAGATGGACTTTCCCCTGTCTGATCGCTCCAGCATGCTCTCATGGCATCAGGATGGTCTCATCAGGCCATCCTGACTCTGTGGTGTTGTTCCCCCCCCCTTCTCATCATCGCAAACTCCATAGGGAGCCCTCAGTGCTGAGATGTGATTAATCGATTCCCCATTTAAGCGCATCGGGAACAAATGGGGGGGGGGAACCTGACTCACCCGTGGTTGAGTCTGATCACGCGGTGGTGAGCTGCCCCCGCAGCTTCAAAAGACTGTGTGATCATGCAACTGTGGGTCAAATTACTCCGGGGGAAATAGCCTCACTTCCCCCTGTGTTATCTCGCGTGTGTGACCGCCACCAATATTTTTTTGGCTCCATAAGTGTGGCAAGCTTTCAAACCCTGCATGGCATTCTTCATGAGTAGTTGTGTGCCTGGGTGTTCTTGCTTGAGAATAAAGAAAGTGGGGTGAAGGTTGCCAGCTTTCACCTGACTAATTGTCAGATCAAAAATATCCAGGTTCCTGACCATCATAATGGGCCTATGACAAAGTTATTTCAATATTGTTTCTGGATACCAATGCATGTTGTAGAACCTGTGATCTGGAAAAAAGTAAGACTTAAAAATAGTCTGTAATGTGTAGACTCAAATTCTGCTGACTAGCATAACTACAGAAAAGCAATTTCATGGGCTTCGGGAATGTTAGCAACCTACTGAGCAATTGGATGAGTTTGAAAATTTAAGTGTATTATCAAGCTGACATGTAGTTGTCTTTGTGCCACTTGCATAGCAAGGATGTGTGGCATAAAACTGGGCTCTTAGTGGCCTGTATTATGAGTATGCAACCTTAATTCATGCTACTAGCAAACTTGCAGAGAGAAAGTACGAAGGGTTTACTGAATAACTGCTCCATTTCCCCCAAAATCATCAGATTCTTTCAGAGTGGATCATGTGTTGTCTATGCAAATGAATATTTCAACCCCACATCTGAGCAACAGCAAGGAGTCTCTTGAAAAATCATAATAACATTGTGTTGATTAAATTATGATGCCATATACCACCAAGCAACAAACAATACAGCACACAGTCTAATATAGCCAGGAACAGCAAAACAAAACAACTGTGAGCTGAAATACCCGCAAGTATAAATGTACAAAAAGAGACTTCAATAAAGTGAAAAGAAGCATATAATAAGCAATATCAGTAACAAATATTACATATGGGAATGAATCCACACAATCCATGAAGAGAAACAGTCAAGTCCAGAGAAGATATCCAACACTTTTCCTAGGTAGTTTATAGTGTTTCATACTCCTGGTCCTTCCTCAGGAACAAAGAATTATGGGCTAGGTCTCCTAAGTTTTAATATGCACCTCTAGGGTTGCTTCTATGTGAACAGGACTAAACATGCCTTTTTGTACATTTATACTTGTGGGTATTTCAGCTCACAGTTGTTTTGTTTTGCTGTTCCTGGCCATATACCACCAAACAGAAATCAGTGGGCTTAGACTGGAGTAACTTTTCTTTGGATTTCACTATAAAAGCAGTAAAGGACTATCCATATCTATCATTGGTCTGACAACTATAGCTAATTTGAGTATATTCTGTGGTATATACTCTGGAATGTATTAGTCCAGGTACATTGTAATATTTTACCCAAATATTGAAAAGTTGTACTTCAACTCTTCATGAATTAGCTGAAAAATCATGAAAATTATATTGTGTGATAGTTGATGAATTAAAAACTGGGAAACATTTCAAAATTCCATTCTCTACATTCCCAGACAAGTTAAAATGTTATTTAATTTGACTGGTGGGCATAATACAGTCCTACAGATTTTAACCTTAAAGTTATATAATTTCTTTATTGCTAGACCTTAAATAACAGATAATCTGCTCTGTAGAGAATTCTAGAACTTTAGTGATACTTCCTTACCTATCAAGAATGAGTAGTAGCCGTGTCAAATCAAGTCAATTATTCTTTTGTTTCCCTCTTAGTGAGAACTTCAACTTTTACTCAAAGCCTTTATTCACTAACTGTTCATAAAACTAGTTTTCAGTCTTCCATCTACCAGCCAGTTTTAACTTTGTGATATATTTCCTATAATACTTGTTTTCTTTCTTTTTTGGCATGTCATTTCACAGGCAGTCCAGAAAAACGGAAAGATATAGCACCCAAAAACAAACTAGGAAAGGCTCCGCATCAGAAACAGAAAGGTAGGATTCATTCTATAATACACAACAATGTTGTTCCTCAGTCAGCTCAGCTGCATTATTAGAATGGTGTATAGGCCGTGACTATAGAATGTCATCTGTCTGAAAGAAACAATTAAATTTCAGGTTACAAAATAAGTGAAAATTAATTCTACTATCATTCTAACGTATGGCCTATCTGTGGTGAGAGAGACATTCTAGAGTACAACTTGCTTGGGGTCTCATCCATGGCAGTGTTGCATGTGCAGCTGACAAAGATTTGTACCACCAGCATTAAGCCCATGAAAGATGAGGTGGAGATCTTTTTGAGCCCATGGGCACCTTTGGAATTGTGACACAGGGTAGTGGGTGCAACCACAAAATGGCTGCCATGGGACGCGGAGCCACACACACACAAACACACACAGAGGAAACCAAATGCAGAGGACAAGAAGGCTAATTTTGGAAAATACACTGGGAAGGAGCAAGAGACAAAATAAAACCAACACTGTCCTGACAGCTGCTACCCAAGTGACATTATTTAAATTTGCACAGCCCGTCAGTTTTCCAGTGGCTAATCAGAGGCCCTTCTGGGCAGGAACCTCATCTAGCCCCACTCACTTTTTAAAAACACTTGGCATGCACAAGGAAGGTATTAGCGGATGCTGTAGATCGCATGAGGACCACATTGGGGCATTCTGTAAATTAATGCTCTCTGTTACAGTGCATTGGGGAGCCATTGTAGTACCATGTATGTTTCAAAGCTATTCCATTATGAACAGATAACAATGTTACTTTCTGAAGTGTGATGTTCATGGCACTAACTATGAAACAGAAAAGTTGACACTGAATCTGAGACTGAGAACCAGTTTGGTGCAGTGGAGCGCAGACTCTAATCTGGGAGAACCGGGCTTGATTCCCCACTCCTCCACATGCAGCTGCTGGTGTGACCTTGGGTCTGTCACAAGTTTTATGAGATGTTCTCACAACAGCGGTTCTCTCAAGAGTTCTCTCAGCCCCACCTACCTCTCAGGGTATCTGTTGTGGAGAGAGGAAGGGAAAGGAGATTGTAAGCCACTCTGAGACTCCTTTTGGTAGTTAAGGGCAGGGTATCGATCCAATCTTCATCATCTTTCTGTGTTGTTCAAAAGCTGCTTTAATATGGTAATAGAAATCCTTCTATATATCCACATTGGTTCATCTGTCTCTACTCTCTACAAATTACCTTTTTAACACTTACCTTTCTCTCATGCCTTTCCCTCACAATAGAATATTTTTTTTCTTCCTCTGCCTGATATAGTTCCTCATTTCCTATTTACAGGTTCCTTTACTTTGTTTTCTAACATGCAACATATACTAACATGTCAAATATACTTTAGAGTGCAATTGTGCGCAGGTTCTAGATACTTGTTCAGCGATAAGCACTTGAGAAACAGGATTGATGAAAGACTATGTTACAGGACAGAGCAGATGTGTGGGAAGTCTGGTGAATTCAAATGTAAAAGGGTTACAGTGGATATAGGGTTTCCAGACTACCCGGTAAGGCAGGAGTCCCCCGCCACCAGGACACATGGCCAATTCTCCCTCTAAGCTGTGGAGTCTTATGAGCAAAAATTCTACTTTGTGAGCTACTGGCATTAAAGTTGTGAGCAAGTGATTTAGTTACTGCATAAATTAGTTTGCTCTGGAGCCATCCTTCCTGAGCTAAGACCAAAAATGTGTGAGCCAGAGGCTAAAAGCTGTGAGCTAGCTCACACTAACTCAGCTTAGAGGGAACACTGCCCACTGCCCCACTGCCAATCAGCTGGCCAGTGGGGGAGGGACTTTCCCAGATAGAGTTGCCAGCCCCAAGGTCCAGGCAGGGGTTCCCCCACTTCTGGGGGCTTCAGTCTGCCCCCAACCAGCAGGCCGGCGGAGGAAGCTCTGCTCCCAAGAGTGACCACCCACCTGGCCACCAATGCTCCCTTCTAAGCTGTGGAGTCTTGTGAGCAAAAATTCTCCTTTGTGAGCTACTGGCATTAAAGTTGTGAGCAAGCGATTTGGCTTCTGCATAAATTAGTTTGCTCTGGAGCCATCCTTTCTGAGCCAAGACAAAAAGGTGTGAGCCGGAGGTTAAAAAACTGTGAGCTAGCTCACATTAACTCAGCTTAGAGAGAACACTGCTAGCCACCCCTCTTCCTCCCCTCCTGCCCCATTTAAAGGGCTTCAGTTAATCAGTGGGGCTTTTTGTGAGTGGGTTGGGGGACACAGTGCACGGGGCTGATTTCCCCCAGCAGTGTGCGCTGTGACCCTCACCCCACTCACAAAAAGACCCTTTAAAGGGTTTTTTTGTGAGCCAAGCATATGGCCTGCAACTCCTCTCTACCTCCCTCCTGCTAGATTTAAAGGGCCCTCCAACTGGTCGGCAGGCCACGTGATCCCTGCCAATCAGCTAAAGCCCTTTAAATCAGGCTGGAGGGAAGGGAGGGGGTGGCCGGGTGGGTGGCCACTCTTGGGGGCAGGGCTTTGGGCCATCCCCACCCACCCCGGAACACCCCACAAATCCCCCCACCAGAGCGACGTGGGGACCTGGCAACCCTATCCCCGGGAAAAGAGCAAAGCTCAGTCAGTGTTTCAATGAAGTGTCTACATCACTTCTGATGTGACCCTGAAGTAACATTATCACGTTTGCCCAAATACCAGAACATTGCCCCAATGTCGCTGCATGATGACATCACTTCCGGGTCACATTGGAAGTGATGTAGACATGTTGTTGCAATATCAGCTGGGCCTCCCCCCCCCCCATTCCTTGCCGGTTGCCAACCCTAAGTGCGCAGCACTGAAACGCTCCAGGTTGTGAATAGTTAGGAAGGAGATTGAAATGAATAAATAAATTGTGGAATTCATTGCCAGTGGATGTAGGGATGGCCATGAGTTTTAAAAAGGAATTAGAAAGGTTTGTGGAGGAGAGGTCCGTCAGCGGTTACTACTCATAGTAACTAAAGGGTAACTCAGTATTCAGATAACAACATTAAGGGTAAAGGCCTTAGGGTTGCTAACTCTTGCTTGTGAGGTTCCTGGAGCTTTGGAGGTGGAGCTGGCAGAAGGTGGAGTTTTTGGAGGGGAGAGATATCAGCAGGGATTTGGTTCTGTAGTTTACCCTCCAGAGCTCCCATTTCCTCCAGAGAAATTGATCTGTGTAGTCTGGAGATAAATTGTAATTTGGGGGAAATCCAGGCCTCACCAGGAGATTGACACGTATGTCCCGTTCATTATCTTAGTGTAGTTGATTGGCTGCTGTGTGAATAAGTTGCTAGACTAGATGGACCACTGGTCTGAACCAGTCAGACACTTCTTCCATTCTTAACCTGGGCAAAATGATATGGAATGGCATTAAGGGCACAAAAGATGTTGGCTCAACGAATGGTGTAGTGATGACCTGGGTACTGTGACACTCATCGATATAGCCGCAGGTTACACAGATCAGATGCAGTCAATTGAACAGGGAAATATTCTTTTTCCTCCTAGGAAGACAAATGCTTAACAGTTGTAGAAGGAGCAGTTGACAACTATCACTAAAGCAAACAGCTGCTTTGTATACAGTGTGTAGTATATAAAGAATCCAAGAGTAAGAATGACTGGAATGCACACATTACATTGATAAATATGAGCTGCAGTATCTTTATTAATCATGCTGTATCTCTACTGAATTGCTCATCTCTTATTTACAGTTTACCTCGCTTCTCCTTCCTTCCTTTCTAAATGCTCACTATATTGATTATGTGAATGCATTAAACTGTGTCAAATATACTGATTATAATTCGTTTTTTGTAAAACTGGTTATAGAAACTTTTCCCTATATTAAAATATTTTACCACTGTAAACATTTTGATACTAGTGTATTGGCATTGAACTTATAAAGAAGCTAGTCAAGATAGATCGGTATGCCCCTTAATTTGCCTCAGAGATTCATAAAGGTAGACTTGGTGGAGAGAAACAACAGCTGTGTGTAATGTCTTTGGCTTGTTTATGGTCCCTCCCTCTGTCTCAGTACCAGCCTCTATCATTAGGATCAGTATTTTCTGGGCCACCCCAATTGACCTGATGTGCGTCTTACATGTTTTAATTATATACACTTTTAGGCCACAATCCAACGTTGGTTAACGTGCTCTTAACATTGCTTTGGACTGTGGCCTTCTAGCTTTTTAAAAATGTATATTATTCTAGTAATTAAATCTCTGTATAATGACATCAAGACTATTTCAAAGCAAAACATTGACCATAGTAAATGTAGGTAACATTTAACATTCTGAAACATTAAGAACAGCAAACTCTATTCAATAGGTTTGCCATCCACTGATCTTGAAGGGGTCTCATTATTGTTTTTTGTTAGTGAATAGTTTGGCATATGAGATTTTTCCAGTCCTCTTTCTGGATTAGGAGCTGCCAGTTTTACACATCACTGTGTTTAAACTGCCTATATAGTGATTTAAAACAGGACCACTAATATGCGTGAATGTTTGCAAAATACAAAACATTGTCAGAGAAAATCATACAACCTAACCAAATCTTCAAATTACTTTAAAATATTATCTCTGTGAACAGCAGCTATAGTACCTGCCAGTTCTCACAGAATAATCAGTCATGGTTTTGTCAAATGATTATTTAGGTTTTATGACTGGCTACAGCTTTACCAAGCATGCTGAGCCCCCTACTGGTGGCAACGTGTTACCACAGAAGTATAAATAAATTAGTGATATTTGTGCAGAATGTATAATAAAATGTCAATTATTTTTACTATTATTTTACTGTATGCCTTATGAAATTTTATAATTTTATAATATGCCTTATGAATACACTAAGAATGAGGCCCGGTGTGGAAATAAATACAATGAGCTCCAGAAAGAGGCTCTGGGCGGATGCTCTGGCCTTGGGCACCCAGCGTCAATTTGCTGTGGTGACCCCAGCAGGGTATAATGACCATTTTCTCCAGGGGAACTGATCTCTGCCATCTAAAGAGCAGTTGTAATTCTGAGTGATCTCCA